CAAACTTATATAAGGTACGTTGTCTACCTATGTAACTACTCCCAAATTTTTGGTTGTTATTACTGTTGCAGAATTGTATATGTTATAGCATTTACTGTAGTTGTCCTTTATTCTTGTGTATGTCTCAGTGTTGTGCTCAGTTCCCTCATATTTGTATTACCTTTTCTTTCACCAGAATTAACTATGTAGTAAGCAGTTCTTCTTCCTGCCCTCTTCCGTCCTTGATAACCATCAAATAATGTAGCTTTTTGTATATAAATGTATTCTTGACTTTTTGTAACAGTTGTTGTTATTTGCCATCAAGTCGGACCCAACCCAAAGTGACCCCTCCTTGGGTTTCCGAGGCAGTATCACTATGGAAGTAGATTGCTCAGCCTTCCTTCTGGAGGAGTGGCTGGTGGGTTTAAATCACCAGCCTTCTGGTTAGCAGTCAAGTGCCTTAGGCACTATGCTACCAGAGCTCCTTTTGTAACAGTGGTATCAAACAATATTTGGCCTTTTGAGATTGACTTATTTCACTCAACATAATGCCCTCTAGATTCATCCATATTATGTTTCATGGACTCATGATTCTTTATTGTTATTTAGTATTCCACTGTATATATGTACCACATTTTGTTTATCCATTCAGCCATTGATGAGCATTTAGGTTGTTTCCATCTTTTTGCTGTTACAAATATGGGTGTGAATATGTCTGTTCATGTCACTGCTCTTACTTCTCTAGAATACAGAAATGCCATGCTGTTTTCTATAATGGTTTTACAATCCCACCAGCAGTGTGTAAGAGTTCCAGTTTCCCCACAATCTTGGCATCATTTTTTATTTTCAATCAGTGCCATTTTTGCAGGGGTGAGATAGTATCTCATTGCAGTTTTGATCTTATCTTTCTAATTGGCTAATAGAGAAGCTCTGGTGGTGTAGTGCATAAGGCATTTGACTGCTAACCAGAAGGTTGGCAGTTCAAACCCACCAGCCACTCTGCGTAAGGAAGACTAGGCAGTTTATTTCCATAAAGGTTTACCACCTCAGAAACGCAAAGGAGGTCACTATGAATCGGAATCGACTTGATGGCAGTGAGTTTAATGGCTAACTAAGGAGCTCTGGTTGTATAGTGGTTAAGGCATTTGGCTGCTAAACAAAAGGTCAGTGGTTCAAACCCACCAGCCACTCTGCAGAAGAAAGATGAACTTGCAGCCTGCTTCAGTAAAGATTTACAGCCTTGGAAACCCTATAGGTGTCACTATGAGTTGGCAGTGAGTTAGGTTTTGGAATGCCTAACTAGGAGCTCTGGTGTTGGAGTGGGTAAGGCATTCAGTTGCTAACCAAAGGTTGATGGTTCAAACCCACTAGCCAATCTGTGAGATAAAGATGAGGCAGTTTGCTTTCATAAACATTTATTAGCCTTGGGAATCTTAGGGGGCAGTTCTGTCCTATAGGGTCACTGTGAGTCAGAATTGACTCAGTGGTAGTATGTTTGTTCTTTTCCTGGTAATGGCTAATGATTTCAAGCATCTTTTCATGTGTTTGTTAGCCACCTGAATGCCTTCTTTTGGTGAAGTGTCTGTTCATGTCCTTTGCCCATTTTTTGATTAGATTGTTTGTCTTTTTGTTGTTGAGGTGTTGTTGAAGTTTTCTATATATTTTAGAGATTAGACCGTTGCCAGATATGTCATTGCCAATTTTTTTCCCCAGTCTGTAGGTTCTCTTTTAACTCTTTGATAAAAGTCTTTTGATGAGCATAAGTACGTAATTTTTAGAAGGTCCCAGTTACCTAGTTTATCTTTTGTTTGTGTGTTCTTAGTTCTGTTTGATAGACTATGCCATCAGTTAGGATCCCTAGCTTCGTCCCTCTGTTACCTTCCAGGAACTTTATAATTTTACGTTTTACATTTATGTCTTTGATCCATTTTGATTGAGTTTTTGTGTATGGTGTGAAGTATGTATCCTGTTTCATTTTTAGGCAAATGAATATCCAGTTTTGCCAACACTATTTGTTAAAGAGACTATCTCTTCCCCGTTGAATGGGCTTGAACCCTTTGTCAAAGATCAGCTATTGATAGCTGGATTGATTTACTTGGGTTCTCAGTTCTGTTCCATTGGTTTGTGTGTCTGTTGTACCAGTACCAGGCTGTTTTGACCACCGTGGGTGTATAGTAAGTTCTGAGATCAAAAAGTGTGAGGCCTCCTACTTTGTTGTTTTTTCTCTTCAGGAGTGCTTTAGCTATTTTGGGCCTCTTTCCTTTCCATATAAAGTTGGAGGTTAGTTTTTTTCTGTTTCATTAAAGAACGCTGTTGGGGTTTGGATTGGGATTGCATTATATCTGTAGATTGCTTTGGGTAGCATTGACATTTTCATAATGTTAAGTCTTCTAATCCATGAGATGGAAAATATGGTGTTTTTCCATTTATGTAGCTCTCTTCTTGGTTTCTTGCAGTGTATAAGTCTTTTATGTCCCTGGGTATATTTATTCCTAGATTGTGTTAAGAACCTTGTTTTGAAACTATTCTGCTTTTTCAGGAGTTCTGCAAACATTTGATTCAAATGTCACCATATACATGTATATATATTTAAATTACTGTAAGCAGGGTACCAAAGTAAAGAAAAGAAACAAAACCTACTTCCATCTAGTTGATTCCAACTCATGGAGACCCTATAGAACAGAATAGAGTTGCTCCATAAGGTTTCCAAGGTTGTAAATCTTTATGGAAGCACATTGCCACATCTTTCTGCACGGAGCGGCTGATGTGTTCGAATTGCCCACCTTTTCGTTAACAGCCGGATGCCTTAACCACTGTGCCACCAGAGCTTCTTGTTATTCTCTATTTCTGGGACTTGATCCTGATGAAGATGGGGTCCTTTGTAAGACTTTATTTGGAGAAAATATTCTACGTGAATTAAAGTTTGTAAGCCACGGGTCTTCCCTTGTAAAGTCTATTTTGAGGCCCCTCATCTTGCAGATTAGATCAGCTGGCTTTGAGGCACAAACACCACCCAGGCTGGGCTTAGAGCTATGTGTCACTAGTGTTTGAGTGGTCCCAGCTGTTTACCAGCTGGATCCACTTCAGACAGGTTTATACTGGGACAGCTGCAATTCCCTTTTTGCATGGAAAGAGGGAGCTTCCAGGAAAGTGTGCTGCAGCTGTGAGCAGAGAGATGGTGTCATTGTCAAGAGACCATTGAGACCATTGAAATGTCTTTGAATGATCACAGTCCAAGTCTTGTCCTCTATGGATCCAGAGTCACAGAATGTTCCAGCCAGAAGGGGTCTTAGCTAGCTGCTCTCTTCATTGAGGACTACTTGTGGGCTGGGCCCTGCATTGGGGGCTTTACAACTGTTATTTAATCTTTATACTAACTCTATGGGGAAAAAAAAAAAAAAAAAAACTACCAATCTCACTGCTGTTGAGTTGATTTTGACTCATAGCGACCCCTCCTTGGGTTTCCGAGGTGGTATCACTATGGAAGTAGATTGCCCAACCTACCTTCAGAGGAGTGGCTGGTGGGTTTGAACTGTGAGCCTTCTGGTTAACAGTCAAATGCCATAGGCACTATGTCACAAGACACGCATTATTATCCCCATCTTACAGATAGGACAGCTGAGGCTCACAGAGGTTAAGTAACTTGTCCAAAGTTACAGCTACTAAGTGACATAGCCAGCTTTGGAACACATGTCAACCATTCTAAAGCCTTCTTAAAAAAAACAAAAACCAACCAGCCAATGAGTTACCATTAAGTGGATTTGGACTTGGGGTAGTCTCATGTGTGTCAGAGGAGAACCATGCTCCATGGGGTTTTCAGTATCTCTGATCTTTCAGAAGTGGATTGCCCAGCCTTTCTTCCAAAGCGCCTTTGGGTAGACTCAAACCACCAACCTTTTTGTTAGTAGCTAAGAGTTTAACCATTTGTGCCACCCAGAAACTAAAGCCTTTTTCTCAATGACTTTATGGATGAGGATAGCAAGTTCTAGAAAATAAAAGCAACTTACCCAACAGGACACTGCCAATTCTGTTTCAGTGCAGAGCTCCAACTAGAGTTTCCTTGCTCTATGAGATGGTTGTTCCCTCTGCCATGCTTAGCTACTACCCAGGAGGAAGACAAGGGAGTGTGTCCCCTGCTACCTTTGGAGTGGGTCAGGCATGATCCGTGTTGTGCTAGCCTGGAATGAGAAATTAAACTCACCCTAGTTTAGTCTCCCTGCCTTGTTCTGCATGGGGACAGATACTATGTTAGGAAGGACATGGAGACGCAACCACTGGAGAGCCACATCACAGTCAGAAGGCAGGGGCCAGTGGGCGAACTAAGGCTGTGAGGTCCAGGGCAGCTGGTCTCTCTTTGTTGCAGGTTTGTCTTTGGTTAGAGTGTGGGGATCTGGGTGCCAGGGATCGGCTTCTGTCCCCACATTCATGTGGTATGTGCTCAGCCTGCAGGAGCTCAGCTCTGCCTCCTTATATGGGGACGAAGAACTCAGGGATGTCTTTGGGATGGTGTGTGGGGAGCCACATTTGACAATGAAGGGTGCGGTACCATAACAGGGCCCATGCTGCACCAGCCCTCTGCTGCAGGAAGAAACGTTCATTTCATTTCAGCCAGATTGCACAACGGTTGCTTTTGTTTTCATGTGAAATTCTGCCAAGGATTCAACTTTTCCTGTTCATTTTATTAAAAACTTTATAAACAGTGTTAATAAATAGATATAAAACTGCCACATAAATGACAAACAGAGGGACTAAGTGATTTTCCCAAGGGTCAGCTATTAAATAAGTAAGGAAAACATGTCTTTGCACAATCAGATTCCCATATATGTAAATTAGGGACGGTGCTTTACCACCGAGTGTTTTAATTAATATTTATAAATCACAGAGCGCCTCTGAAAGGGCTAGTAAGCTATTTATATTATTACCATGTCACACAAATAATGAACCCCTTGAAGGTTGCTGCCTGTTACGCATTTTGGTCTGAGAAGTAAGCAAATGTGTTGTTTGTGTGTCTCTGACTGCAGGTGTGGTGTCAGCACAACGGCAGGTCATGGTCCAAGAAGGACCCTTGTATCGCACGGAGGGCTCCCACATCACCATCTGGTGCAACGTGAGTGGCTACCAGGGATCTTCCGAGCAGAATTTCCAGTGGTCCATTTACCTGCCCTCTGCCCCAGAGCGGGAGGTGCAGATCGTCAGCACCATCGACTCTTCCTTCCCTTACGCCATCTACACCCAGCGCGTCCGCAGTGGAAAGATCTATGTGGAGAGAGTCCAGGGAAACTCGACCTTACTGCACATCACGGATCTCCAGGCCCGGGACGTGGGGGAGTACGAATGCCACACGCCCAACACAGATGACCGATACTTTGGGAGTTACAGTGCCAAGATGAACCTAGTGGGTAGGTCGTCACGTGGCTGGGGTCCTGCCTGTGCCACTTTGCAGTGGACCTCTGTTTCATATCATAGGTTTGACTTTAAAAAACACAAAAACTTCCCATATATCTTAAAGGTCAAAAAATGCAGCATAAAGTGAACAAAATATGTGTGTTAATTTATAAATAATAAATTGAGGTTGAAACTTAAAAGGACCGATTGCAGATGTTAAGAATTTCAGGGAAGGCTTACCCTCTATTTAGTGAAGGCTATATGAAAGTACGAGGCAAGGGCATTTGTGATAAATGAACTGAAGAAATGATGAGAGAGATGGAGTATATGACATTAGCTGGAAGAGGTGTAATGGCTTTGAAATAAACAGGCTTGGACCTGGATGAGGTTCTGATGTGGATGGGGTGCTGTGCAGTCAGGAAGTGAATGTGGTTGCAGGTCCTTGCCTAGACCTTGACTGCTTAGTCAGTCCTTTGGCTCCATGAATGAGGTACTGTAAGCTAGCTGCCTTCCTCAGCCATGGCACCTCCCCCAAGGAAGGAGGGAATGTGAGGAAGAGGCAGGGGGAGCTTTGCCATGGTGTTCACCAAGATGAATGTGTTAAAAAAAAGTAATAATAAGGCTATTCTGTATTTTTGCCTGTCTTAATTTCAAGTTTTTATTGTCAAAAGTAAGTGTGTCGGGATGGGTGGGTGGTTATTGACAGTTCTTTTATTAACACAAGTGCTATCCTTTGTTTAATTTTCCTTTCCCTGACAAGTTGACATCACAATAGAATGCTTTTAAGAGCATCCCAAGAGGTGGCCTCTAAGGCCCACACAATGCATTATTTCACCCAGTCCTGATAGGAATTTGGTGAGAAAGCACATACTAGTGTGATTGTGTTGCCCTTATCAGTCAGAGAGGTCTTGCTGTTTTGTCTCCAGAAAGATGTAAGGATCAGAGTAAAATTCTGGCCAAGAGACCACAGGGGAAATCTCTCACTTGCCTCGTCAAGCTTCCATACTGCAACTTCCTTCCAATGTGGGCCACTTTGACAAATGAATTACATGAAAATCAAGCTTCCTTAAAAATAGGGATGATGATTCTTCTCTCGGCCATATAATAATAATAATAATAATAATAAAAGCTTTCCTAGAGCATTGCATTACTGATATAATAATAATAATAAAAGCTTTCCTAGAGCCTTGCATTACTGAAATAAGTTAGGGAATGAGGGAGGGAAAGGGAAGAGATGAGGATATTGCAAAAACATAAATCTAAAAGTTCCAGGAGCCATTTCCATTTAAACATCAATCAGAAGTTGCCTTAGTCATCTAGTGCTGCTAATACAGAAAATGGCGCAAGTGGGTGGCTTTAGAGAAATTTAATTTAGAGCCCAGGACATGGGCTCTAGGGGAAGGTTGTCTGTCTTTTGGCTCCGGGAGAACATCTTATTCTCTTTCTTTCAACTTCCGTAGCCCCTGCAGTCCTCGGTTCCTTGGAGATGTTCATATGAGATCCAACTTCTTCCCCCATTGTGCTTCTTTCTGTGTTTAATCTGCACTTCTTGTGCCTTAGAAGTGATTAGGTTTAGGACACACCCTACACTGATACGGCTCCATTAACGTAACAAAGGAAGCCCTGTTTTCAAACCAGATCACATCTGGTTACAGGGGTTAGGATTTCAATACATATTTTGGGGGAACACAATTCAATCCATAACAGAAATTAAATTAAGATGTTTCAAATCTATCCCAAACTCAACAACAAAATCTTACTTAACCTAAAAGAAAATTCTTCTTACATAGTATTTCCAGGAAATTCATCTAATATGTAAAATGAAATACAACCCACATTTTATCAGGGTGTTTATTAAAATAACAACAGGTAAGTACCAAGAAAAGTGTTCTGAAATCAAACAAAAATTTCTTCTGGTGCATGTTCCCTTTGGGGATACACTGTTTGGCTTTGCATCGGTTGTTAAAGGCTTCCCCTGTTAGGGCCATAGAAACCATGAGCCTGCATGGAGTGGGAGTTCTGTCCTCTGTTAAGTCAAGATTCTGTGGCTTTATGACAGGGTCAGAGGAAGCTCAGGGACATATAGGACACAAGTATCCTAAGTCCTAGCATTCTTGCATTCTTGGGTCTTTTCTGTGTTACTTTTCCAGTGATCCCCGACACCCTGCAGACCACTGCCATTCCCCAGACTTTGCACAAAGTGGAGCAGGACCCTCTGGAGCTGAGTTGTGAGGTGTCCACCGAGACGTTCCAGCACAGCCACCTGTCTGTGGCCTGGCTCCGGCAGAGGGGCAGCGAGAAGCCCGTGGAGGTCATTTCCCTGAGCCGAGACTTTGTGCTGCACTCCAGCATTGAATATGCCCAGAGACAGAGCCTGGGGGAGGTGCGGCTGGACAAGCTGGGGAGGACCACGTTCCGCCTCACCGTCTTCCACCTGCAGCCCTCTGACCAGGGAGAGTTCTACTGTGAGGCTGCTGAGTGGATCCAGGATCCGGACGGGTCGTGGTATGCCATGACCCGAAAGCGTTCTGAGGGAACCATTGTCAACGTCCAGCCCACTGGTCAGTTTCTCTGAGCCACTTGTCTCTATGTACCAGGTAGTGAGGGTGGTCAGATGCTGGGAGGGTGAGGGGCTCCTTCTTTGGTGACTTCTAAAAGTATAGTAGGTTTTCGTGTGAAGTTAAAGATGGTCCTGCTGGAGGGTCAGAGGAAGCTAAGGGACATAGAGGGCCTAAGTATCCTAAGTCCTAGCCTTCTAGGGAGTCCCTGGGAGGTGCCACACAGACAGAATCCTGCTTGCAGACATGTTTTCTTTGACTTGCACGGTTTTATACATTTTCTTGAATTAGTTTAAAAAAAAATGGGAGATTTCAATAAAACTGTCTGTATCTGATGACTAAGTTCTCATTCTTACTTACCACGGTGGCTCCATACGTCAGCTGCCAGTCCTGTACTATTTGTACAAGAAACTTGGGATTAGGAGCCCTCTATCATTGATACAAAATAAAGTCGACAAATTTTGGTTTAAATTAATATTTGTATTAAGAATACTTTTTTTGTGGTGCTTTATAATTTCCAAAAGGAGCCCTGGTGGTCCAGTGGTTAAATACTTTACTAACTAGAAGGTTGCTGGTTCAAACCTACACAGCTCCATAGAACAAGACCTGATGATGTGCTCCCGTAAAGATTACAATCTTGGAAACCCTGTAGGGCAGTTCTGCTCTGCCAGATAGGGTAACTATGAGTCAGAATCAACTTGATGGCACCTAATAACAACATAATTTCCAAAATGCTGTGTCGCATATTACTTCACTAATCTCTTCTGTTCTGTGAGGTAAGTAGGTGGCAGTATTCCAATTTTCAGAATCTAGATTGCTGTATGTACAGCTCCAGCAAGAGTCACAAGGCATGTTGGTGAGGCTAGCCTGGAGAGTACCAGCTTTCAATGTAAAGGTTTTCTCAAGTCAAAGACCTGGTGTGGGAGTTCCCTGAGGAGGCTGAGCGACTTGTTTGGAGCTGGAGAAAAGTATTGGCGACACCAAATCCTCCATGACTCCCTGAAATCGCAGAGTTCACTCTCCAGACTCCCAAGTGTAGCCAGGCTTCAGTTTCTGCTAACAGTTGTTGCTGGCTATCTCAGAGGGGCTAGGAGCAGGTTTCATGCATGGGCCTTTGGTCCCCTCGTTTGGTCGGAGGGTGGTGGTTGGTGCCATCATTGAGGTGCAGTAAGTGGCCCGAGAGCCTCTGCTTATGTTGATGTTCATCTCTGGTGAGGCACGCCCAGGGGAGTGGAGTGTGTTTGTGGGAGATGTGCTGGGGAGTCTGAGACACAGATGGGCTCTCTCCTTTCTTAAATTCCCCCTTCCCCTTTTCCATTTGCTACAGTCAGTTACCTTGGGCTTTGCATAGTTCTTCTGCCTCAGGTGTTTCTGTCACTCATTCTAGAGCAGTGCCTCAGACTCACCAACAGTACAGATTCCTGGGACTCATCCCAGAAGTCCTGAATCAGCAGCTCCTGGGGTGGGACCTGGGAAGCTGGATTTCCACTATTCCAAGGTGATTCTTATCCTTCTGTATTTTGTCAAGCACAGCTCTAGAGGGAATAAGGCAGATATGATTCTGTGAACATCTAATGGTTTTTATAAGAGAGGGTGGGCTCCTGAACGGGTACTTTATCAGTTCTGCAGGGCCTAGAGCATTTAGAAGCTTCTGGATTTTCTAGTATTAGGAAACCTTTGGAAGAGACTTTATTTCATATTTAGCTTTCCTTTTTCTGGATGATTTTAAATCGGCTTTAAACCTCTGGTCCAAATATCAAGTCTTACCGCTTTTGAATTAGGTTGCATCCGTTAATCTTCTTTATTTTAATCTTACCAATTTGAAATTGGGACTTTTTACATTTTTCATGCACATATACCCAAAGGAAGCTAACAAAGGTTCTGGGAAAACGGGGGGGAAAAAAAAAAAAGTTGATGACTTCATTCCATACCCCTGTACTTTCTTTTCAGGGTCAGTGTTTGCATCCCAGATTTTGCCCTTCTCTTAGTTCATTTCATTAAACACATAGTGAGTCTTTACAGCATGGCAGACCTGGTAGTAGGTATTAGGGAGACTCAAAGATGAGTAACATTTGGTCTCTACACGTGAAAGCCAGCGGCTAAGTAGAGTGTGCTAGAGCTATGATAGCATTGTGTATGAAGTGCCCTGGGATCAGAGTAAATATGGAGTGCTCTGGCAACAATAAGTTTTCCCTGGATGGAATAGTTATTAAGGCAAGTCTAGGAAAACCAACCAAGTTTAATGTTTCAGCTAAATCTTAAAGCTTAATAAGACATCGGGAGGAGAAGCGTAAAGGGATATAATTGTTTGGCCAGCAGGAAGAAGTTACGTACAGCTAGATGTCAAGTTCTAGGCACACATGATAGGAGGAGAAAGAGAAGGTAGCCGGAAGCCACAATTGCTGTGACATGGAGCTTGGATCTGATTCTTTGGACCAAGGGTTTTCAAACTGTTCTTCATAGAACCTTAGGAACCCCTTAGGAGATTTAGGGAGGTTGTATATGGTGGGCGTCGGGGGTGGGGGGTACACCCCATGCTGTGCTGGGAAAGTGTATGAGGGCCTAAGTGTTCCACCTTTCCTTTAGCTAAATATGTTATATAGTGAACATTAAGCAATTTACCTGGGAGAAGGAAGCCCTGCTCTTTGCCCCACCCACAAAGGACTTTGGAAAACCACTGCTGCAGACAATTGGCGTGGAGGGTAGAGATTTTTAAGCAGGAGATAAAAGAAAAACCCTGGAGGCTTCCTGGAAGCTCCAGGATTCAACAGATCGTGTCTAAAGTAGAGATGAGGTAGGTCATATGCTGTTGTTCGCTGGTGTTTAGTTGATTCTGACTCATTGCAACCCCATGTAACTGAGTAGAACTGGCCCGTAGGGTTTTCTAGGCTGTATTCTTTGCAGGAGCAGATCGCCAGGTCTTTTCTGCCGTGGAGCCACTGGGTGAGTTCAAACTGCCAAACTTTTCCATTAGCAGCTGAGCACATTAATGTTTGTACCACATTATAGTCCAAAAAACCAAAGAAACCAAACCCACTGCCATTGAGTCGATTCCGAGTCATAGCAACCCCCTTTGGGTTTCTGAGGTAGTAAATCTTTACGGAAGTAGAATTGCCCAGTCTTCTTTCTATGGAGTGGCTGGTGGGTTTGAACGTCCAACCTTCTGGTTAGCAGTCAAATGCCTTAGACACTATGCCATAGAGCTCCTTACATTAAAGTCCAGGAAAGAATTAATAAGGCCAGGACTAGGTCAGTGGTAGTAGCCTGGAAAGAAGGCAGTAGGTGCTAGAAGCGGAAGAACGGAGAGTGCATGGAAGGAGCCCAGCTGCCCTGAGCCCTGAGTGCGGGGCTCCTAAGTGGCTCCTTGAACTGATGTGTGTGTGTAGAAGGGTAAATGAGGAGCTGCATTCCTACTTGGAAGTCTCTGCCTCCCCACTAGTGGCAGCATTGGTTGTCTTTTGCATTTTACATTTTTTGTCAGGGAGTCTAACTGTCAAGCAAACTCTTATAGGACAGCTCAGTGTATGAAACACCCATTGTGCCATAGGAAAGGTAAAGAGGGGTCTGGAGCTCAGTTAGAGGTTGAACTTGAGAGTGATGAAAGGCCCAGGAAAAACTGACGGTAAAAATAGGAAAGTGCCCAAGAGACCAGCAACAGTAAGAGGTGGTCAGGAGCAGCAGGTCCTCCCAGTGAGAGTGAGCACAAGAGTGGTTTGGAAAGCAAGAGGAGAAGCAGGAGGGAGGGTGTCATGGAGCTGGAGAGAGAGTGGGGCCAATGGCTGAAACCCATAGGACAGGGCTTGAGAAAAGCCTGTGGTGGGGGTGGGGAAGAATCATTGGTGACATTTGCTAGTTCAGTGAAGTGTGGGAGAAGGGCCAGAAGCCAGATTTCAGTGAGCTGAGGAGTGTGAAGAGATATTGGAAAAAGTATATATCAATTTCTAGAGATTTAATTGACAGGGGGTAACCAAGGAGCAAGTTGCTCTGCAGAAAAGGGGGTACTACATTATAATTTTTTTGTCTTCAACCTGTGAACATGAAGGGTTCACTGACCTGAGAGTGTGGGTAGGAACTCCCATGAAACAAGGAGAGGCTTCAGCTGCAGCAAGAAGAAACTCACAGCCTGCCGAACTCTGAGGGAATGGGAATGTTTGAGGTCTAAGTGTACCTTTTGCATGTCTTCAGCAGAATTTACGTGGAAGAGGTACTTTTCCATTATCAATGTTGAGTTATAAATTACTGTGATTTGATTGACCAGAGACAGCCAATATCCAGCAGGTAACATGTGCACAGTCCCAAGTGGGTTTGTTCATCTAGGCCAGACCAGTTGTCATTGAGTTGATTCTGACATGTGGCAACGTCCTGTATGTCAGAGTAGAACTGTACTTCAGAGGGCTTTCTTCAGTGGCTGATTTTTTGGAAGTAGATCACCAGGCCTTTCTTCTGAGGCCCCTCTAGGTGGACTTGAACTTCCAACCTTTCAGTTAGCAGCTGAGCTTGTTATTTGTACCACCCAGGGACTCCATTCATCCAGGCAAAGGGTGGCAGAGTAAAACCTGTTTCTTTCAACCCCTGTGTCTCTTAGATTGGTCTCTTGGGAAGGGGAAGCTGAGGCAGTAGCCTTAGACATTGGAGGTGAGCCCCTGAGTTGTACAGTGTAGATTGTTCTGTCACGAAGCTTAGGATCAAGGAAGGAATTAGGTCACTGGAGACAAGGAATGCTTGTTTGTAAGTAGATCATGTGGGAGAAGAGGTTTGGTGGCTAAAGAGAAAAGGTAGATGTAAGCTATGCTTGGGGTGGAGAAGAGGAATGTTGAAGCAGCTCACTCATGATTCCTCTGTTTTCTCAGGGAAATAGGATTTTCAGCTGTTTGAAGAGTGCATGGGGTGGGGGGTTGAAAATGGGGCAGGAGTCTTGAATATAGCGGTAAAGATTTGGGAATGTGAGAATAAGGGAGTCAACCATGGTAGGAGCTGTGGAATCCACGTATTCTCAATGTTCTCTTTAGAGTAACAGAGTTGGAACTGGAAGGAGATGAAATGTGAGTAATAGCCACAGCTATAACCAGCCTGAGGCAGGGTTCTGTGGCTCTGTGCTCCAGCATAAAAAAGTTTCCTCCGGCCCTCAACTGCTTTGTCTTGCACCCCATTTCTGGTGTACGTGCCTATGAGACTGTCTAGTGAAGTTGGCGGTCATTGTGCACCATTCAGGAGCCCTGGTAACACAGTGGTTAAGTGCTTGGCTGCTAAATGTCAGCGGTTCGAACCTACCAGCCGCTCCATAGGAGAAAGATGTGACAATCTGCTTCTGTAAGGGTCACGGCCTTGAAAACCCTATGGGACAGTTCTACTCTGTCCTACAGGGTCACTGTGAGTAGGATTCAACTAGACAGCAGTGGGTTTGCTTTTTGTTTTATTTTGGGGGGTGTTTTTGGTGCACCATTCCTTGAGCCCTTGTTTGATCTCCAGCCCCTCGTGTCTGCTTAAATACCCAGCTCTTTGAAGGATGCTTGCATTTGTTGATCACTTTAGAGGTCACATAGCTTTCAGCTAAGGAAGTACTTTCTCATTCCATCTGCCTAAAAATTTGGTTTGATAGATTGTAGACTAGTGAAAGGATATTAATTTTCACTCGATCCTGTGTGATTTTTGTTAGTGCTTGTCTTACCTATACCTTATTTTTAGTATTCATATCGAGTTGGGAAAGTATTTCAATGTATTTATCTTTGAGTATTTGAATTTCTTAAATTTGAGTGTTAGGATTGGGGTTACCACCTAGGCTTCTTTGTGATTTTGTCTCTCAGATGATGGAAGTCTAGGGGCTACATATCAAGACTAGACATTTGTGATCTAGAATTTAAGTGATATTAGGAGATCCCTTAGGGACCCCTGGTAGTGCAGTGGTTAAGAACTCAGCTGCTAACTGAAAGGTTGGCAGTTCAGACCTACCCAGTGGCTCTTTAGGAGAAAAACCTGGCAGTCTGTTCCTGTGAAAATTACAGCCAAAGAAACACTATGGGGCAGTTCTGCTCTGTCATATGGAGTCTCTCTGAGTTGAAATTGACTTGACACCTAACAATAACAAAAGGAGTTCCTTACTGACCTTAGGTCATCTAATCTAAGACCTTAAAAATTTAAAACAGAGTTCCATTGGACGTGGAAGAGATTATAAATGCTTTAGACCGTCTGGATTTAGCTACCTGGGTAATCTTGGACTTCCCTCTGTGATACTCATGGGTTTCTCTAGGCTTCAGATAACCTAAGTCTAAGTTGGATTTTTCCCTCTGAAACAAGTGTTGTGATACCTTACCTGTAGGTAGCTTTGTGAAAAAGGGCATGCCTGGGTTGTGGGATTTGCCCTGATACATTTTGTTCAGCTGGGGCATCATTTACCCAGAATGCATCTATTTTGTTACATGTGTTCTCAGACAAAGAGTTCACTGTTCGGCTGGAAACGGAGAAGCGCCTGTACACAGTGGGGGAGCCAGTGGAGTTCAGGTGCATCCTGGAGGCTCAGAGCATTCCTGACCGTTACTTTGCCGTCTCCTGGGCTTTCAACAGCTCACTCATTGCCAGTGTGGGACCTAATGCCGTGCCAGTCCTCAACAGTGAATTTGCCCATCGAGAAGCCAGGGGACAGCTTAAAGTGGCCAAAGAGAGTGACAGTGTCTTTGTGCTGAAGATCTACCACCTCCGCCAGGAAGACACTGGGAAATACAACTGCCGCGTGACAGAGCGGGAGAAAACAATCACCGGGGAGTTCATCGACAAGGAGAGCAAGCGTCCCAAGAACATTCCTATCATAGTCCTTCCTCTCAGTAAGTAGAGAGATGGGCTGCTTTCTTCTGCTCTTCCTGTTGCTTCCTGGTTCAACAACTAGCATCACATAGGGGAGTAAGGGGATAGAGAAGAGAAGCTCTGGTGTTGAGAGTGGGGTGCAGGTGGAACTCAAAGATTAAATCAATTTAGCAACTGCCCCCTGCAATGAAGCACATCTTCAGGGATGTTTGCAGGCTGGAGTGTTGGGCCTTAGCAAATCCGTGCTCAAGCTCAGCTTGGAGGAAAACCAGGAATCCAGGAAAGCTGTTTGCTCCTGGATGGGAATTGAGTCCCAGAACAAGTGGGTAGATATTTGTTTAGAAATCTCACTTAGGAAGAAGTTTATCTTTTATGGGAGAATTTTAAATCATAAAGTGCATTATTCAGAAGGATTTGCTGTCTGGGCTTTGCGAGTGTAAAGGATGAAATTTCACTAATTGTCTTTTCTCTATTGAAATATATTTTTAAAAGTCAGTGAATGGGGTCTCTCAAGTCTTCCTGGAGCATAGACTTTTGAAGCTTAGCAGATTTCCAGGGCACCTTAGAGGGGTTCCCTGCCTCCACGTCAGCCGGCTGTCCGGGTGGGTAACTGTCATTGCTGGGTACTCCAGAGGCTACCTGCATTTGCTTAGGTTGTGTTTAATCCTCCATAGTCTCAGGATGTGCTTATAATTCTCATTTATCTAAGAATTCTGTTTATAGTGGAAAGAGAAAAAAAAGGCTTATTATGCCCTTACTTTAAACAAGATGATGAACTAACCTTTAACTTTTTCTCAGCTGCTCAAACTGTTCTTTCTCTTAGCCTCATAATGATTTCCTTGACATTTTTATTTACACTTTCATATTTAAAAATGATTTCTCTTCAAGAATGAAGAAAAGAATAGTCATAGGTGCCTTGCCACCCTTTCTTCTTTTCTCATGAACAAGATTATTTTCTTTCACACTTTTAAAAAAAACAAACCAAACAGACACAAACGCCTAATTATCTTGTAATCTTTTTATTTCTTAGACTCTTTCCCTGCATTGCCTAGCATGGTGCTTTGCATAGAGTAGGTGCTTGCTGGATATTTGTTAGAAACAATTTGCTGAAATTGTTGAATTGAATGCCCACTCTCCTGATTACTTTCCTGTCAGTCTGTGCTCGCCTTAACCACCATGTCTTTACTTTTGAATCTGCAACTAATTCCTCACTGATTTGTAAGGAACAGAGAAGGGCAGCCACGCTATTTACTTCCTATACCTTTTATATTATGAGATTTCCCCCAACCCCTTCCAAGAATTTGTTTGATGATCTGTGGCCTGCTGTATTGCTTTTCCAGCAGATAACTGGGTAGTTAAAGTCCCCCAGCACCACCAGATCCTGCCCCAAGGCCACTTGGGTAAGTCTACCAAAGAACAACAATGATCACATTGGTAATGGTGGTAATACGTTGGATTGTAATGGCGCTTTTCCTCCCAAGAGCCCAAAGTGCTTTTGCATACATCAACTCCATCTCTGCCCACACCCCTCAAATCCTTGTAGATGCCAGTATTTTATCCAGTCTGTGAATGATGAAGCCAGAGCACTGTACAGGGAAGTGACTGAGCCAGTTGTTGTTAAGCTTGCATTGCATTAGAGACATTTGCTTCTAACTTCAAACCCACAGCTCTGCGCTTAGCTTATGCCTACACCATCAACCTCCTGATTGGAAATTTCATTTGCAAACATGCATTTAGATTCTCATTAGTCCTGTCCTCGTTTTCATTTAATCCAGACAGTTTTAAATTGTCAACTGCCTTTTCTTAGGCCTGGGAGCTCTTATAAATAGTCTTAAGGGGCAAGGCAGTACCAGGTCTGTGTTTGCCTTTGCCTGGGCTGCCGCAACGACTTTTCTTCTCAGAGGTCCATACTCTTAACTGTACAGTTTTTCCAGGCTTGTTTGAGTAACAAAGCCCCAAACAGAAGCCCTCATAATAAACAAGCCAGGGCTTATGTAAGAATCTTATGAGGTGATCAGAGGGAGTGGTAGTGATGTCCTGTAAGTCAGTCATTCTCTGCTTGAGGCAAACAGGAATTTTCTCCCTTGATTCTGAAGTTGCCACATTTTAACCCTGCCTTCTAAATTGATAACAGTGGGAATAAGTCTGTAATTGAAAGGAGATTATTATTATTATTAATGATAATGAAAAATAATTACCTCATCTTATCTTCTCGGTGTAGAAATTATTAGTATCTGCATTTTGCCCAAGAGAAATTGCACTTGGGTAAGGTAAGTCAGATCCTAAGATTTCAAAGTTAAGAAATAGTAGACCTGGGCCTAGAATCCAGGTCTGTCCATCTCTAAATCCCTGCATTTAACCACTAGTGATATACATGAGACTATTCCGGATCCTCAGCATCTTCATGAATCATCTTGGTATGACTCCTGGAGAGGTTGCTCTCCTGTGAAAATTCCCCACTTTGTCCAGATTTTTTCTTCACTTGAAACAAGAAAGTCCAGAAGGAGTAGAAGGCACACTCACTCTAACAAGAGCTAAATGCTCAGGTGGAGGGCTCATCTTTGTCTCTTTCTGCCTGTTGGGGAAGTCCAGGGGAGAGAAGATTGATTCAGATGCATAGATATTTATCTGTGTGTTTCCCCTGGGTAACTGGGAATGCCTCTTCATCTAGGATTTGATGTGATTGATTGGTTTAAAATTACCATGTATGTTTCAAGTGTGTGGTACCAGATTAATTATGGTTCTTTGTGTTCTTTAAGACTTGGGGGCTTTTTGAGCTTAATATAAATAACTATACAAAATAACGTGCACAATTAAAAAAGATCAGAGTATCTATTTTATAAAAACAAAGAATTACTGGGAATAGTAAAATAAATTAACAATAATGGTGACTAAAATTGAAGCACATAGAGTTTAAATAATTTGAGTGAGTGAGTTTATATAGCTAGTGAGTAGCAAAGACTTAGATAGAGGCAGAGAAGTTAGCAGAATCCTTCTCCCATACTTGATTGGCAGAATGTTTCAAGTAGAGAACACGGGAACCCCAGGACTGACTGTGGGCAGGCAGCCGAATGGGGGATGGCAAGGCACTGGCCTTGGTTTATTCCTCTGTGTTAATGAAAGTATGAAAGCTCTCTCCTCATGCACTCTGTGAAACTAGACCATCTGGGCTCCATTATTATCCATACTCAAGCACACTTCATCTTCTAAATACTTCCCATCATTTGTTTCTACTTCCTAATATTGCCCTGAAGGAATCAAATGGCATGTTAAGGGTGCAGCTTTATTTGACTGCTGCAGCTTTTATTTGACTGCCATAGCATTGAATGGTGGGAAGATTGAGGTGAAGTGCAATTTTGCTATAGCTCCCTAAAATGGAAGTTGAGAAGTCCTGAACGCCAGCTAAATAGGTTTAGCTGATAAATTGTTTTATGTCCTAGGTAAATGTCACTGTGTTATGTTTCTTTGGTTCTGATTCAGCCTCAAGTCTTAGAACATTGTTATATCTTAATCCTCTGCACATAGCAAAGAACTTCCGAAATTATCGGATCCAGATCCCAGGGAGCAATGCCCAGAATCATCAGGGCTTGTGGCTTCAAGCATTTGAATGTATTTTACTCTCTGGGGCTCTGAATGAGATTAAATTTGCCTCATCTTCCTTTTATATCTGTGAGGATGGTGCCTGGAGACCATAAAGCCCCCACCTCATCACTTTCTCCCTTTTTCCAGAGAGCAGCATCTCCGTGGAGGTGGCCAGCAACTCCAGTGTCATCCTGGAGGGTGAGAACCTACACTTCTCCTGCAGCATCCGCACAGCAGGCAGGCAGCAAGGCCGCTTCTCAGTCATCTGGCAGCTGGTGGACAGGCAGAACCGCCGCAGCAATATCATGTGGCTAGACCGGGATGGCACGGTGCAGCCAGGAGCATCCTACTGGGAGCGCAGCAGTTTTGGGGGCGTCCAGATGGAGCAGGTGCAACCCAACTCATTCAGCCTGGGTATCTTCAACAGCAGGAAGGAGGATGAGGGCCAGTACGAGTGCCACGTGACTGAATGGGTACGGGCAGTGGATGGCGAGTGGCAGATTGTCGGGGAGCGCCGAGCTAGCACACCCATCTCTATCACAGCTCTGGGTAAGTGTCTCGCGGTCTATTGGCGGGACCATGATGGAGACTGCTTCCTCTCAGGAATTTTACCTTGACTTTTATTTGTCAGAGTCCTGGTTTGAAATAGATGGCACCTGCAAAAGGGTTTAATTGAAGGGATTCTATGAAAGTGTGGGCAGGATTAAGGCAGCCAGCAATGGATGGTTGTCAGGCACCCAGCAAGAGCTGGAAGCTGTTACCTACTCCTAGGCTGGGCAGGATAGAGAGTCTAGTTAAAAGAACTATAGCTAGAGGAGTGGAGTCCCTGGGTGGGGCAAACAATTAATGCATGGTTGCTAACCAAGGGTTAGAGGTACCCTGAGGCACCTCAGAAGAAAGGCCTGGTGATCTACTTCCAAAAAACTAGACACTGAAAACTCTGTGGAGCACAATTGTGCTCTGACACACAAGGGGTTGCCATGAGTTGGAATTGACTCAA